AATATAATTTCCAACCGCCTTATTTAACAAATCTTCCACTTCGGGATGGATACTACTTGCCTGTTCTATCGATAATGAATGTTTTCGTGAAGTAAGACGTCACCATATATCTATTTTGATGGAATGAGGAAGCTGGTTAAGTTGCTTTGAGTAATATACGTGAAAAGATGGTGTTAGTATACCGGTCATTGTTACCATAGGTAACTAATAAAAAATTTTGAGAATTTTATATATTCAGAAATTTTATAAGAAAATTTTGAGAATTTTCCGAAGGTGCTTGCTACGTGTCAATATCACGGATTACGTCACATCAGATAGGGATCTGCTATTGGCAAAAATTCATGTGATTTTGGCAGGGGTGCCCCAGCTGAAATTTGCCAAAAATACATGATCACGTCTTTCGTGATACAGATAATAAGTTTTTAACTATTTCGTTTTGCAATTGCACATCTTCCAATTTCGCAATTCTGGCCTTAAGCTCAACATTTTCGGCCATAATTTTATTGTTCTCAGCCTTAATTTTACCATTCTCAACTTCGAGCCTGGCAATGCATATTTTCAATGAATCGGTCTCATCTATTTCAGATTGCATGCTTGCGAAATGTAGTATTAGTATGTTAATATTCAAAAAAAAATCATGTGATTTGGGCGAACTCAGTTCGCTGAAATTTGGCCAAGAATATTTTTATTAATACATTATGAAAAAATACAAAGGTTTGGGACTTTGCCCTAGATATATATAAAAATAATCTAATTATTCAGAATCTACAGTTGAGCTATCTTCCATACGTCTTTCTGATCTAGATATAGGTGCATGATACAACTGAGATATGTTAATAATTATTATATTTCGCACAATTAATAATGCTTCAACAAATTTGCTTACTACATCACTATCTTCTAACTGTACTGGGATCTTTACAGACCGTAAACGACAAACAATATCGATGGAAATTCCCTTCATCCCTAATAAGAACATTTAGATGCAAGATATCCCCAGCTACTTGAAGACTAATAATTCCAAATTCATCTATATTGGGTTTGCGCCCTTTGCGTACCCAATACATACCATCGTTGGCCTCTCGCCATAATTTTATTCTATCATCATTTTTTTTCTTCTCCGAGCAAATCAAACGTGAGCATTCAGTGTACATGAGTTCAAAAACTCTATCACCAAATTTAATTACGAACATTATATCAGGGCGCCTTCCCAATTGTCCTTTTCCCTTTCTATCGGCACTTGCGGTACTTTGACGTTCCGAACTAAAAAATATAGTTAATAACTGATTTTCTAATTTATATACAATATATTACTATTTCAAACTCAGTGCTAATGAACGAAGACTTTCCAAATGGAAGATTTTTTAACGTGGCCCAAATTGCTGGTACTATGACATTTGTTACATAGGTACCCTCATTAAGCGAACCCACAAACTCAGAACCAAAAGCTGGATTTTCCCATGAATCGCTCAAAGTATTTAAAATTCCTATAGTAACTTCTGAAAGAACCTCTTTCGAATCTTTCCAATTCCCGTCATGAGATAACAAATCGGGTATGACCTCTATTTGAAATTCTGAATGTTTTGATACAAAATTTCTACAAACATCACGAACTTCTGATGGTATAGAACTAGGCGCCATCCGTCTAGCTGGTTTCTAAAATTATCAGATGAATTAGGATATATCTATTAAATAAGGATCTAGTTAAAATCTTACCATAAATCGTTATATAAGTTTTTTGGTAGTTTTCGTATTTTATCCCACTCATCACTAATAACTTGGCTGGCAAAAGGAGATTTCTACGACAAGCTGGGAACAGGCACATTATCCAAATCTTTAAGCAAACGTTTGTAAAGAGGTGTTGGCTTTTTCTGAACAATGCTCTAAGAAGTATAAAATTAGATTTTTCTCAAAACCCATATCCATTATCTAACATAACTTACTGTAAGTTTCGACTTTAACTCGGTAAAATTGGCTATAATTCACTCTGAGCTGAGAGGTTTCTCTTTACTCTTTATAAGTACAAGAGGGTGAATTAGTATATCATAAAATTAGGTTAATATCTCTTGTAAAAAAATGACATACCAATTTTACTGCACCTATATCGCGTAAACTACACACTCCTTCGAAAGCATCATCAAACTGACGCAGGGAAAAACCTGAATTAGATCATGATCTATAATAAAAATGCATTTTTTTGACCGACCCACTCCTCATCAGATGATTGCAAAGTTACCATCGTGCGGTCCACCACGAAAAACAGCATTTGCAAAATATCGAAATATCAACAAAGAAGTTTGCATAAGAATATAGTTTAGACGTTCCCCACGTTTTTTAAGGATTATATCCTCTACTCACAGGCTATGGAACAAAACTATTATGCCAACTACCTGACTTTCAATTCACGCCATTCATCATTTATTTAATCGTATTATAGGTTTGCTAAAGCGAAAAAACTAACTTGTACAAGAATTCTAAGAAGTTTATTCTGCGCGGGTGTATCATTAGAGTAGATATTTAATGAGGCGTTAATAGCATTATTTACTATACTTTTCGATTCTTCTCTGGTGATCCAAGGCTCTTCTTCTATAACCTGAAAAATAACAGAAGAAGCGGTTATATGTTCTAAAGGGGAGTTAGTAAGAAAGTCATAGACCTTTTGGTATAATTCAGTAGACATATTTTATAAAGACTTGGTATTAGAAAAATAATGTAAATCGAGAGAGTGAAAAATAACCCTAGCAAAGCGCGGTATAACAAAAAATTACCTATACAGCCCTTTTAAATGTCACCATTTTCCACATTCATGTCTTCTCTAACTCACATTCATGTTGGGGAAAAGAGATAGGAGAAATATGTGAGGCACTTTACGCCAAACTTTTGTTAGAGAATAAGGGCATGTGGAATGTGCATTGAAAATCTCGACATTTAGAATGGTGTTGGGGACAATGCATATACGAACTTTTTTCGCTCACCCGACCGCTCAATAATAAAGACCTAGTAACATTATATAAATATACTCCGGTCGAAATCTAGTAAGAATAACCTGTAGTTCTGGAGGAAA